AGAAGCTTCAAATATCCTGGAACCTTCTGAATTTAGTGGTCCAGGTAAATTAATTGTTGGCAATGGTATGCCTCTTAATGTTAATCTGGTTGGTAGATCTTCAGTTTCTTTAGCATCTAGAGTCCTTTTGCTTAATGATTTATTGCATGTACCTCAAATCACTAAGAATCTTCTTTCGGTCTCGAAGCTTGCTAAGGACAATGATGTTTATCTTGAATTTCATGCCAATCGGTGTTGTATCCGTGATGAGAAGGCTGGTTGTTTGCTGCTTCAAGGTGAAGAGAGTGGTGGACTTTACTCGTTTGCGATTAATAATGATGCCCCTGCTGCTTGTATGGCTGAGGTGCATGCTACATATGTTAAAGATTCTGTCGGTGAGTTATGGCACAGGCGTCTTGGACATCCGGCAGCTCCTATATTAGCTAGTTTGTCTAATGACCTTGGTTTCCAATTAAAATTCGATGTAAACAAAGCATGTACTGCTTGCTATATGGGCAAGAGTCACAAGTTGCCGTTTAATGAATCAAATACTGTTTTTTCTACTCCATTTGAACTTGTATTCATAGATCTGTGGGGACCTCCACATATTGCATCTAATGGTTTTCGATACTATATCTCGTTTGTTGATGCATTCACTAGACATACTTGGCTCTATCTCCTGAAAAGCAAAGATGAGGCTGTTGTAGCATTTAATTTGTTTCAAAAGCTTGTTGATAGGCAGTTTGGTTACTCGATCATGGCAGTTCAGAGTGATTGGGGGGGCGAGTTTCGCAGCTTGTCTCCTCTCTTGGCCAAGCAAGGCATTGTCCATCGGTTGAGTTGTCCACACACCTCCGAGCAAAATGGTGTAGTCGAACGAAAGCACCGTCACATTGTGGAGCTTGCACTCGTTTTACTTAAGCAATCTGTCATGCCAATCAAGTATTGGTCTTATGCAGTTGTATCTGCAGTTCATCTGATTAACAGGTTACCTACTAAGGTTCTTCAAGGGATGTCACCTTTTGAAAAGCTCATGCATAAAAAACCTGACTATAGGATGATGAGAGTATTTGGCTGTCAATGTTTCCCTAACTTGAGACCATTTCTGAATCACAAACTTGCTTTTCGGTCAAGAGCGTGTGTGTATCTTGGTGTCAGCCCACAACATAAAGGCTATCTATGCCTGGCCCCAGATGGTCGAGTGTACACTTCTCGTCATGTAGTTTTTAACGAATTTGTGTTTCCTTTTTCAGGTGCTGATACTAATACTGATGCACATATCTTGAATGCACCTTCCACGTTGTCACCATCGCTAAGTATAGTGACAGATTCCAGACAGCCTTTGTTCCAGGCCACACATCATCAAGTCTCTCCCAATCAATATCAAATGATGCAAGGAATGATGTTGAAATTTCTAATAATGCAGGCAATGGTAATGAAGTTTCAATGCCTTTGGAGCCTTCGCCCTTGGAGTCCTCTAGCAGTGCAGGTTCTCCTGCCGCGCAACAACATGAGAATTCTTTCTCTACTCAGCCTACTAATGATGATTTTGATCCGCTCTCTAACCAGGATGATGTGATCAATGCTGAGCTAGACTTAGCACCTGAAGAAACTGCTCCTGCTTCTAATGATGAGCCATGTGCACCTCAACGAATTCACCACATGATGACTCGTAGCCGATGTGGTGTGTTTAAACCAAAGGCATATGCTGCGACTTATGATGATTATGTCCCCAACTCAATACACGAGGCTTTTCAGATAGAACACTGGAAACAAGCAGCTTGTGATGAGTATGATGCTCTGTTAAGAAATAATACTTGGATTTTAACTACCTTGCCAGATGATCGAAGTGTTGTTGGGTGCAAATGGCTATTCAAAGTAAAGCACAATCCAGATGGCTCGGTGCAGCGTTATAAGGCACGTTTAGTAGCCAAGGGATTCTCGCAAATACCTGGCTGTGATTTCAAAGAAACGTTTAGCCCTGTCATTCGGTTCTCGACCTTTAATGCAATCCTTGCAGTTGCAGTCAACAATGGCTGGACTCTAAGGCATGTAGACATTAATAATGCATTTCTTAATGGGGATTTGCTCGAAGAAGTGTACATGCAGCAACCCCCCGGTTTGGAGAAAGTGAATGAACATGGTAAGCCGTTTGTTTGCAAACTTCAAAAGGCATTATACGGGCTGCGACAGGCACCCAGGAATTGGCACGATAAATTAAAACAAAATCTGGTACAAATGGATTTTATGGTGTCTCGTGCTGACCCCTCTTTATTTCACAAACGTTCACCTCAAGGTTTCATATACGTACTCGTATACGTTGATGACATTGTTATTACAGGAAGTTCGTTGACTGATGTAGAAGAAGTTGTGGCTATACTCAAGGACATATTTTCACTGAAAGATCTAGGGGAGTTACGATACTTCTTGGGAATTGAAGTCAAACGATCTGGTCAGAATATTGTCTTGAGTCAAAAGAAATTTGTTAAGGAGCTCTTAGAGAAAACTGGTATGGTAAATGCTGCTGGCTGCAGTACACCTATGGTTATTTCCTCCAAACTCTCACGTGATGAGGGGGTATTGATCACCAATGCAACTGAATATCGCAGCATTGTTGGCTCTCTTCTATACATTTGTCATACAAGGCCTGACATCACCTTCAACGTTGGGCAAGTTGCTCAATTCATGAACTCCCCTAGAGATTTGCACCTTACAGCAGTTAAGCGTATACTGAGATACCTGGCTGCTACCTTGGATTTTGGTTTGGTTTTTTCTCCTTCTTGTGCTGCAAGTTTAGATGTGGTTGCTTTCGCTGATGCGAATTGGGGCTCCAATATTGATGATCGACGGTCTATTTCGGGATTCGGAGTGTTCTTAGGGCCATGCTTGATTACATGGTCGTCGAAGAAACAAAAAACAGTCTCTCGATCCACTATGGAAGCCGAATACAAGAGCGTTGCAGACGCCACTGCAGATGTCACGTGGCTCACTGCTCTGTTGGATGATCTTGGTGTTAAGCAAAAATTCACGCCCATCGTCTGGTGTGATAACACAAGCACAGTTGCCATGAGTGCTAATTCGGTGTATCATGCTCAGTCGAAGCATGTGGAGCTTGACATACATTTTGTTCGAGAGAAGGTGACAGCTGGCCAACTTTGTGTCAACTATGTTCCTGCCATGCATCAGGCAGCTGATGGGTTCACAAAACCTTTGTCTAAGGCTACATTTGAAGAATTCAGAGCCAAAATGTGTGTGCAGCAAAGTTAATCAACAGAAGGAAAGAAGCAGAAAGAATATTAGAGGAAGAGGCATACTGCATATTTAGCTTGCGACATCTAGAAAGTCAATTAATGCTGAGCTGTAATTCTGTTATGGAACGGTTGTGGTTTTGTTAGGCTTAACAGCTCCTATTAGAGTTGTTTTCTAGAATTCTCCTTCTGCATATAAGTATGCTGTACATATGTGATAGAAGATCAATAATATCTCAATATTCAAGTTGTGCATAATCCAATAGTTATATTGCTTCAACATCATCAATGCACACCACAAAGCATTATAGACACTACAACAAATTTATCAATTTATGACGAAATTTCTATATGACGTTACAAATAACGTCACAAAATATACTATAAATGTGACATTTTTTCGTTTTCGTCACATTTAGTGATTCATGATATATTTTTTATGACAATTTTAAAAATTGTCATTGATTTTTGTCACTATATATTTGGAGCCAAAATTTACCTCCAAATTTTTTTGGTGGGAAACATTTTAATGACGTTTAGATAAAATGATGACATTATAAAATTGTCTCCAATAAGATATAACTATTAGTGACGATTTATTATTATGATGATATTATTTGAATTAGTGACATTGCAGATTTGTCACTTATAGGTTGTATTTTGTGACAATTTAATTCGTCATATATTTTAAGATATAAAATATAATGTTTTATTTGTGCTACAAATAGGTTTAACATAACGAAAGCAATTATTTGTCACAATCTCTTGTCTTTTATATAACAATTTTAAAATATATCATGAGATCATGCCACTTAGTATTTGGCACCATGAATTAACAAAAGAAAATTGTGGAAATTTTTTTAGTGACATCTTAGATATGTCACTAATTTAAAATCTTAGTGATAAATTTCAAATGTTTTTTATTTTTTAAAATTTATGTATTATATATATAAGATATTTTTGTTAATATATGTGTAGTATTATATGTTCAAGATCTCTTTTACTGTTAAAAAATAATCTTTAGTTGATCATGTTAAAGACGAATGCTAATAAGATAATTAATGTTGTGCCCCAAAAACGAGATTAAAATATTTTTTTTAGATTAAAATAATTAAATATGTTGTTTTCGAATATCTAGTGGGATGAGACACTAGATCCCTTAAGCAAGGTCAAGGATTTGAATTCTAACGACCGATCCGAATCAGTTGATTAATAGATCGGATACTAGTGATTATATCAAAATCAAATGAAATGAAATAAAAAAAAAGAGATAAAAATATATTAATCCTTAAAATTAACACTATAAAAAAGAAAAATAATGCGTGAGTGAAAATAAAATAGTAATAATAACAATAATTAAATAAGATAAAAAAATAAAAACACATTAATGTAAGGACCAATATGTAAAAGAAAAAATTAATTGGGTTGCAATAGCAAATAAATTTGACTGAAAATGATAGAATTAAGACAAAAATAATAAAGCTGAGGGACCAAAATTAATATAATCCTAAATGTTGCCTAACAGCGCGGGTTGATGATGATCGGATGAATCTTTAGCATAGATTTACGGGGGAAATGAAGGAGTTAATTAATCGAATTAAAAAACTTAAAAAAATTCTTACTTAATTTAAAAGTTAGTTAATTATTATATTTTATTATTTTTTGATTAATTAGATTTCAACTCATTCAATTCGGTTATCAAGCCGAATTAACCGACATCGTTTGGGAATACTCCAGGGTACTTTTGTAATTTGGTAAACAAAATGTCTAATTAAATCCAGCGCCCACGATTATTCGTAGGGCTCCGGTTTCGAAATACTGAACGGGGAAGTTTTGCAGAGAAAAACAATTAACTTCAATGGTGTGCGAGAAGTGTAAGTTCTCTAATTCTGCAATTGCAGCTAGTTTCATTAGCAATTTGGTGTAATATATGGAAATTGTAAGGAGAAAACCTGATCTGTTTGATCAATTTAATTTGTAGGCCAGAAGAAGCTATCAAGGGTGATCGTGCCCGATAAGTGGAAGGAAGGCGCCAGCAACACCAACGAAAGCGGTGGCCGGAAAATAAACGAGATTAAACTCCTATCCAAAAAGAACAGGTATGTTCCTTGTTTTTTCATCTCCTATTTACTAATTCGCAAAACATGAGCAAATTTTAAATTCCGTAAAAGCTGGGCAGAATTCTTAGCTGTAGTCGTTGATCAGTATATTTGTTTAAGGAATGGCTTGATTGTTGCTGTAAATTATTATTGATTCTTCCAATCCTAGGGTTGTGTTCTTGACAGTGGGGAAATAATGTTATATTCATGCTACTTTTCTGGTTTCTCTTTACTAATGGAAGTATTGGTCAATAACATAACCTAGGGTTTAGGATTTTAGCTGACCTTCAAGAATCCATCAAATATATTACAAAACTTGGGAAAATCTAACAATACTTAGCCATATCCGACACTCACCCCCAAGTTTGATTAACATAGGTTAAGTGCCCCTCTTATTTTTCATGCATATGCATTTTTCAGATTTCATGATTTTGATTTGGAATCCATTGCCTGCAGATGGACTCCTTATGGAAACACTAAGTGTATCATTTGCAAGCAGCAAGTGCATCAAGATGCCAAGTACCGTCACACTTGTGCTTTTTCGAAAGGTATTTTAGATTGATAACTTGATGCCTCTACAACCTGGCCATTTGATTGATTTATGTTTGTTTGTTTGTTATGTTGTGCATGTGGCCACTGATGAGTGTTTTATGCTGTGTAGGCGTATGTGCAATGTGCGGTAAGCAAGTGCTCGACACCAAGCTTTACAAGCAGAGCAACGTATAAATCGAAGGGAATATAAGCTGGTTTTCAAGTAAATTTCATTACTACTATTTGTCATCGTTAACTCACCAACTTGACCAAAGAGGTTGTAAAAGATCATCAAAATGTTAATGTTTACTCTGTATATTTTCTACTTTTCTCCTGGATCATCTTGCTAATCTTTCAGCTGGGTTCTCTACGATTACTATTTCATGGCATGATTTTACAATTTGGTAAATTATGCTTTCATTGAAAGGTTATTTCAAGTCATGATGTGAAAAGTATGGTTTGATCTTGTTGCTCGGTGCTGTACGCACGTCATCATTTATTTATTTATTTTTTTGGGTGTTCAATCTTTGAATCATAATGAGAATCCTTGTGATTGTGTGTCTCTTGTTTAATCTTTGTTTCTTTGTTTTCTTTTAGGGTTTCTCATTGTTTTTGTTTTTGTTTGAATTGCCAGGTGGTAATGAGGGTTTTTGTTTACTTTGTGCTCTTCGTCATCACATTGATTTTTCATTGAATTCATCAAGAGTTGTATCGCCTCACAAAAGATTTTACAAATTGAACAGTATCCTTTATTTTTCTATTAGTAGTTTCATTAGTTTGTAATTAATTGGTTGTTACATAATATGTGATAAGCATTGAATGATTCTGATTTAAAATTGAATTTTTAGTAAATTTTGGTCACTTTATTTCTTTAGTTATTGTATTTTTAAGAGATTGACATATTTGTTATCAATGTGCTTGGAAAGGTGTATTTCAAGTATGGAGAGTGACTATAAAAATACAGAAATGAAGTGTGTTCATAATTGTGATTCTTGACTCTCATGGACCAAGGCATTGTATCATTTTTCAGAGATATCAACTGGAAGATGCTCATGAGTTCCTGTAATGCATGTTACATAGGCTTGAAAGCTATTGACTAAAGCCCAAGAATGATTTGTCCTCTGTTGATGATTGCCTCGTTAAGAAGGTTTATTGTGGTCGCATGGTTAGTAGAGTATAAATGTTGCAACTTTATCATGGGTCATTATTGTCATTTGTAAAAGATGTATATTATTATTGTAATTTATGTGAACCTCTCCTTTAATGTAATTTATAAAAAGTTGTGGTCTCTATTATAATTTATAAAAGGTTTTATCCTTAATTTTAATTTATAAAAAATTGTCCTTAATTTTAATTTATGTAAAGTTTTGTCCTTTTACTAAAATATTTTTTCCTTTAGTGTAATTTATAAAAGGTTTGTCCTTAAATGTGATTTACAAAAAATGTGTTGTATATTGTAATTACTAAAAAATTTAGACATTTATTGTAATTTTAAGCTTTTTATTTATTATAAAAAATTATGATAATATTTTTTGTCACTAATAAATAAAATTATTATATTATTAGTGACGATATTAATAAATAGTGACAAAACTTTATATTATTTGATGACATAATTAATTGTCACTGAATATAATTTCTAAGATGACATAATACATTAACATCACTATGTATTTAATAATACGTGACGAAAATATATACATCGTCATATTTGACATTTAGTGATACACCTAGTCTGACGTTCGTCGTGACGTCAAATTTTACTTCACAAAATATAAACAGTGACATAAATGTGAGTTTCAGTGACGATATTTCAGATGCCATAAATAAACAAATTTGTTGTAGTGAGAGAAGGGCTTGATTTCAATAGGATCACCATGAACAACCTGTGAAATAAGTTCACACCATTATTTCTGTCAAAAAAACATGAAAACACCAATTCATATAACCTCTATTTTCTTTAAAGATTAAGAATATAAGGCTTAGTTACCATTCTCCGATCGATCATAGAGCATCCATCAGCAAAGAGAAGAGTAGGAAATGTATCAAATCCTTCTGCTAAACAGTACAAGTATAAGCCTTATCCCTTTCTGACACTCGGGTCTCTCAGCTAGAGAAAAATCCCCGATCGATTTTGTGTAGGCACAGAGCAGAATGATCCACCAGAATCAAGAGTCAACTGGGGCAACTCTTCCAATGGCGCTCTCCCCAAAATCTGCGACAAGCGTGTCTAGTTTACGTACAGGGTCATGAAGAACTTTGAAGCTAGTTGGCATTACACCTTCTTCTAGCTTGAATCTATCTATTTTTTTTCTCCCACCCTTGAAGTTGTTGTGTCTTCAAAAGAGAATAAAATCTCTAACAAAAACCTGAAACAAATCAACAATTCATTAATCATAAAGGAAAAAATCCAGGAAATTTTCAATATCAAATTAGATGGTAATGGATTTTTAGCATTAAAAATAATTACAAATATTTCAAGTTCTCAATTTTATACATATGCATAAGAATTTCAATGTTACTATGATGAGAAACTTTACCTGATCATGTTGGGGAAACTGGGTTATTTCCCACAAAAACATAACTTACAAAATGAGCTGAAATGTCAAAATTAAAATTATCGAAATGCACAATGGACAAACTAGTCAAATTATTAAATATTGTAATATAATGAAAACCCCAATATTGAACAATCAAAATAAATAATGGAGAGAACACACATAATTTACGAGGTTTGACGAAATATCGTCTACTCCTCACGCACCATCGCCAGATGATAACTTCACTATTACCAAAATGATACAAACAAATAGAATTCCTTAAGAATTCTCAAATACAACAAATGGGAGAAGAGAACAAAATTGAAGAGATGGTTTGAGACTGAGATGATTTCAAATGAAATAATTAAACTTATTTATAGTTGAGCTCTGAGGGCTGATCTTGTAAATAACCAATAGTTTAGGGATCAAATGATAATTATCTCATTCATCATTTAATATTAAACTTATAGCTTCATTTAATTCTAAATTAAATGGCTTTGAAACCCCTACGTTTTAGGCCATTCTTAAAAAATCTCCACCTTGGCTTGAAAATCAACATGCTTTTCAAAATTTTCAACTCCCCAAATAAAGTTATCTTCTAAAGTGCCTCCAAATGCGCCCATGAGTGCCATACACCCGAAGGTGCTCAAACTTTCATAATGGTAACCAAGTTCAAACAATGGTTGAACTTGATTGCAATTACCACCTTGGTCATCATATCTGTAGGATTTTCTATCGTCAAAATCTTCTAAAGTAAAATCTTTCATTCTTCAAAGATCTCCCGCACAAAGTGATACCTCACATCGATGTGCTTGGTTCTTAAATGGTAGATTTATTTTTTCGCTAAGTGAATAGCACTCTGATTGTCACAATAGAGACTAATGTGACTTTGAACAACTCCTAAGTCTGGTAACAATCCATTAAGCCAAATAACCTCCTTAATAGCTTCTGAAATTATCATGTTCTCCGCCTCTGTAGTAGACAAAGTCATTGTAGATTGTAAAGTAGACCTCTAACTTATTGAGGCTTTTGCTAGAGTAAACAAATACCCAGTAGTTGATCGACATTTATTCGAATCACCAGCATAGTCTGAATCAACATATCCAACCAAAAACTGACCATGTTCTTCATCTTGCTGAAAAACTAAACCAACATCTACGATTTGTTAGAGATATCATAGAATCTATTTCACAGCTTGCCAATGTCCTTTTCTAAGATAATACATGTACCTGCTCACAACTCCAATTTCTTGTGAAATGTCAGGCTGTGTACATACCATCGCATACATCAAGCTCCCTACTACATTAGTATATGAAATTTTTTCCTTATATTCCCACTCTTCATTAGTTTTAGAAGATAAATGAGAACTAAGTTTCAAATGAGAAGCAAGTAGGGTACTTATATGTTTCGTGTTTTCATTCATACTAAAACATTGTAATACCATTTTTCAGATATTACTTCTGAGTTAAACAAAGATAGCCCTTCACCTAGATCCTTCATTTCGAACTCTTGATTTAACTGATCCTTCAATTTGTTTATCACTTTTTGACTCTTTAAAGTGATTAACATACAAGAGGAGATAAATGAATGACCCATATTGTAGATTTCGGAAAATACAAGCAATGATCATATTTGCTTCTTGTGTACCTCTGCCTCCTCATAAAGCTATCAAATCGCTTATACCACTACCTCAGAGATTGCTTCAATCTATAAATTGACGTGTTTGATTACAAACCCATTTCTCGCTTCCAGCATCATTGTATTATTCTAGATGATTCATATAGATCTCCTCTTCCAAATCATCATGCAAAAAAGCCATGTTTATATCTAGTTGAGCTAGCTCCAAATTCAATTGTGCTATTATGGCCAATAATATTCTAATGGAGGAATGTTTCACAACAGGGGAAATACTTCATTGTAGTCGATTCCATCCTTCTGAGCGTAGCCTTTAGCTACCAATCTTGCCTTGGAAAACATCTTACTTGCTAGGAAACTCATTTTTCTTTGCAAATACCCAATTGCATCTGATTGCCCTTTTACCTTTTGGTAAATGTGCCAAATCCCAGGTGTTGTTTTTCTTGAGAGATTGGTTTTCTTCTTCCATAGCACTTTTCAATTTGTTACTTTCTAAGCTTTTCATTGCTTCTTGATAAGTGACACAAATATCATCATCAATAACTGGAAAAACATAGGCCACCATATCTATAAATCGATCAGGTCTATGAATTTCTCTCATTGTCATTCTAACTGCAAGTGGTTCTAGTGTCTCCAATGGTTCTTGGGTTTGAGCCTATTCATCTTATAATTCTTCCATTGAATTTGGAGAATCAGTAACATTAATTATTAGGCTAATCATCATCTTTTGAAGCTCCACCTATTTATGGAGTACACTCCACCTGTTGTAGAGTTCTACTTGTCTAAACATGTTTATTTGTTACCTTTTTCAACATGATAGATTCATCAAAGGTAATATCTCTGCTAAAGATTATCTTCTTTCTGTCTAAGCACCAAAGTCAAAATCCCTTTACTCTATGGGTGATCCCCATAAAGAGAGTCTTATTTGCTCTAGGATCTAACTTTGACTCATTCACATGATAGTACGGAGTGTATCCAAATATATATAAGAAAATATATTCTATAGTGGGTTTTCCATACTAAACCTACCAAACCTCCAACAATGTTTTTCCTCTAATTACCGATGGCGGTAGACGATTAATGAGATGATGAATGTATGTCACGGTCTCAGCCCAAAATGGTTTTTTCAACCCAACATTGGACAACATACATTGA